TTTTTTTTTTTTTTGGTGAGGTCAAATATGCATATATTTTATATTTCGTCTAGCTTTTCCAGTTGTTGGTAGTGGGATAATTTTTAGGTTATCTGTTTTGCTGAATTATTAAGAGTATGAAATTTCTGAGTATTTTACTTTACATTCTTTTTTATTCATTTATCTTGATTAGCATTTTTTACTTTCATATTTCTTTTACTTAGTTCCTTCTCATTTTTATCCAACAGAAAAGAAAAGAGTAATGTTCATTATATGGAGAATAGAAATCTGTCTGGCATTTTGAAGCAATTATGATTAAAAACAGTTCTTACTTAAAAATGTTCTTACAAAAATGTGACAGAAATTGACATCTCTAAATTATGTCTGCAGCTTACTTTTAAGTCTATCATGTAATTTTGGTTTTGTTTTATTTTTACAGTTTAAAACAGAGTGGAAAATTCTCTGGAAATCCCTGGCCTCCTTATAAGAAAAGGACATCACTCCATCCTAGCTATAAAGGTCTCATGAGACTTTTGCACTGTAAAACTTTACATATTGTGCTATTCACTCTGCTTTACAAGGTACAGTAGTAATTTGAATTGAAAAACTTAAATTAGAATTTTTCATAACTCAAAAATGCTAAAGAAATTTTATGTATAACTACCACTTATAAAGCAAAGTGTATTTATACATTTATAATGTAGAGTTACAATCATGATGTTATAATTGCATGTATGTGAATTCCATGTTGAAAATAACCATGTAGCTACACCATCCTTTGTGGAAAACTATTCATCTTATTCAGCTTCAGATAGGAATATTTATTTTGTGATTTTATATAATAAGAAGTAAAATGTTATGGAGCTAGAGGAGTTCAGGCATGAACTAAGGAACCAAAAAAACCCACCGAACCCATTAAATGACAAATTTAGATGGCAGCTATACAGACAAGTAACCTTAGTTTAGGGTGGTTCTCTTTGCTTTTTACCTCTCATTAGGAATGTGACATGGAGGGCTTTGAGTGAGGTGCCTGTGTAGCAATATCAAAAGCTTATTTTTGGTAAACATTTCTCAAAGATGCTTTACTTTCTTGTTACATAGGATTTGTTTTGTTCCTGGGTCTTTGCACATACAACTGACTTACTTGACTAGTATTAATTGTGTCCTTAAGCTGGCATAAGTGGCTTAAACCTATAATCCTAGCTGCTTGGGCGATGGGTTTGGAGGACCATCTGGGCAAAATGTACACGAGACCCCATCTTAACTAATGGCTAGGTGTGGTGGTACATGCCTGTCATCCCAGCTATGCCAGGAAGCACAGATAGGAGGATCACATCCAAGATGGCCCTGGGCATAAAGCAAGACCCTATCTCAAAAATAACCATCAGAAAGGGCTGGGAGCATGGTTCAAGTGGTAGAATGCCTGCCTAGCAAGTGCAAGGCCCTGAATTCAATCTCAGCCACCCCTCCCCACCAAAAAAATTGTGTCTTCAAAAACATTTATACAGCCATACCTAATACTCAGAAATTCACAACTTTAATTTTACAGATTTTAAGAACGTTAATGCTTGATAAACAATCTGGTATCTTTGTCTTCAGAAAAGTGTCAGCAAATTAGGATATAAAATATCCTAATTCTTGTTAATTTACTAAATATTGGTATAGTTATATTAATAGTTTTAGTGGGCTATTTAATTTGTTAATCCATAGGAAGTGTGCAAGTTGCTATTTCTAGATAGTGCTTTAAGTCCTATGTAATTTTCAGAGGAAGCCTGGTTTTTTTTTATTATAGTATCTTCACTTACATACCTGATTTTTATGTATCTGATTATATTTTTCATCTTTATTAAAATGTTTTTGGATCTTTAAATGAAAGATACTTTGTGGATAAAAAGTAATCAGATGTATTTTTTTCCCTTTTCAAAGATTTTGATGGATCACCAAAATCTGTCAGAACATGTACTCTGTATGGTTTTATATCTGATTGAATTAGGACTTGAAAACTCTGCTGAAGATGAATCAGATGAAGAGGTAAGTAATTTTTTATATTTCAGAATTTTTAGGTAAGAGGCAGCCTTTATCTGTCTCCATGCAACTGATTCCAGGTCTGTATATAAATAAAGTGTGTTTATGGATTACCCTTAAAGTGTGCTTACAAATTCTTTAAATTTATATTAGAGCTAAAGCGCAATAGAAAAGGCCTTTTTGATCTTCAAATATATATAGCCTTTTAGAGCATTCATTGATACTTATGGGATTTAATACTTGTGTGTTTGAGATTATCATTATCACAAAAATTAAGAAAAGTGGTTAATGCATTTTTGATGTTATAAAAAGAATATTGATTATTGGTAAGCAATCATTAAGTTAGGACTTCAGTGTAGAAATTCTATTAATTTGATTAGGGATTATTTTTAACAGTATGTGCTTTCTGAAAAGATTTTAAAGTAATGGAATAAATGAGAGAATTTTTTGTAGCTTACTATTGCATTTTTAAATTATATTATTGTTGTACTGGGGGTACAGTGTGACATTTACAAAATGCTAATAATATAGCTTAGTTAAATTCACCCCATCCATCATTTCCTTTATCCCTTCTCCCCCCAAAGAGAATATTTAAAGTACTTAAGAATACAAGTTGTTAATGTGTTTCAGGGCTTTACAGTATTATTTTCAAAAAGCAATCATTAGAAATTAATTTCACAATTGTCAGATTTCCTGACTCCAAAACGACAAAATAGAACACAACCTAATAATAACCAAAAGAAAAAAAAATAAGTAGGACTAGACTGTGACTCAAATGGTAGGGCATGCAAAACCCTGGGTTTAATCCCAGCCTCTCCCGCTGCTCTCCCTCTCCCACCAAAAAAAAAAGGAAAAACTATGGTAGGTCATACTTTTGGTTGATTTTTCCATCATTAGTCCAAGGGAGCATTATTTGACTATATTATGAGGTATTACTAATGGGAAATACATATTTTGTAATGTTAAGTATTTCCAGATTTCAATTTGGAAATCTGGTTTATCTTTTAGGAGATAGTTTGCTAATTCCACTAAATTTATCCCTGTATTTTATACTTGATTTGGTTATTTACTCACTTTATAATTCCAGATGAAACTGTAAGGGAGTCAGGACTGTGGCAGGCTGTAGATGATTAATTAGGCTTGTTAAATTTCCATTGTACCTCAGACCTGATGTGACAAGCTTTCATATTCATATTTTTAAAAAAATGTTTTAGGTGTCAGTGGGTGGACCAGAACGATGTCATGACAGTTGGTTCCCTGGCAGTAACTTAGTATCAAACATGAGACACTTTATAAACTATGTGAGAGTGAGAGTTCCAGAGACTGCTCCTGAAGTGAAGAGAGACTCACCTGCAAGTACTAGCTCTGATAGCTTGGGTTCTTTACAAGTAAGTATAAAAGCAAGAAAGAAAACAAGGCAAAGCTTTGTTATATTGGGATATATTATTTAGGTGAATGTATGATATCCAAAAGAAAAAAAATGAGTTTACAGATAACTAAATTGTCTTTATTTCCTCTGATATATTTAAACAACTTCTGCCTCACCAGTTTTTTTACTTTTATCTGCCAGAGTTCACGACGGCCTAGAGTTCTCCAAAGAGAGGTAGTAGATGTGTATGATGTTTGCATTAACTAGCAACATGGCTTTAACTGGAAATGGGGAAAAACCAATTTGAAGTATTTGTGTTTGTGTTTGATTAATACAGTTAAATTAAAAAAATTCTTTATTGTACATGTGTTTTTTTACTATAATAAAGTAATTTAGGCTTAATTTAAAAGAATTCGTATTACTGATCTCAAAAATAATATTGAGTATTTAATAGTGGATTTCGCTTAACAGTGTTAGAAATATTTTGGCCAATTATGGTATATGGGATCTGCTTACATTCAGCGTTGCAGCTATATTGCTAACATCTTAAAAGCGACTTTCCTAAATCAATATTAATTTAATTACTGTCAGCATGTATGTTAATTTTTTTTTTTTTTGCTTCTATGGCAATTAATTAACTTTGATACAATAAGCCCATAAAAATCTTGAACTCCATAGATAGTGCTTTGGGACTCATTTTGAAAAATAGCTCTCTTATTGCATGTTGCTTTATTAATTAAAAAGCAGAAGTGAAAAATCTTGAAATGACATGGCAAATAGTTGAATTTAAACATTTTAGTTCCTACAAACTAGATTTTTATGAGTAGGGAGAATTGAATGAGACATTTCTCATAGTATAGGCTATGTGTAAGGACTTTGTTTTTGACAGTATGTTTTTGTTGTGAACATTGTAAAAGGTTTCAATTAAAAACTTGGAACCTCTATCAAAGGCAGCTTTTGCCCCTAATGATGGTAGAGTACTTAAAAAAATAGCTGGATGTTAAATAACAGTGCATACTATAATTTGACTCACAAAAACATCCTTCTGTGCTAACCTTAAAAAAAGCAAATGAAATCCATTAAATTGGCTCATATCTTAATTAAGAGATGATTTCTAAGAGCACTAATGCAGTTCAACTGCCTTAACGAAAAGCTATTTAGAAGATAAATTATTGAGAAAAACACTTAGTTTAAAAAATCTATTCAAATAACAAATCAAAAGTGATATTTAATTGTGAAACAAATCAATCTCTACATTTCAGTTTGATAACTTTAAGCATTTGTTAGAAGTAATTTTCAAATTTTTGAAGTGTTTTAAAAAGTGAAATTAATCACCAGTTCAGATTTATTAACTTAGAAAAATGTTGAAAATTAACATAGTCTTAAATGGAAACTATAGCAGTCTATCAGATGTTAGTAAAAGAGTATGTATAGTTTTTGAATGTTTATTAGAGCAGTTTTTCTTCTTTTAAACTGAGGAGAAATTTGGTTTATGATTTCTCTTTAATATGACTGTGGGTACTATTTAAACATTGTTTCTTTTCCTTTGTAGATAGGTGGATGAGGTTTAGAAAGAGATGCTATTGTTGATAATCTCCTTTTTTCTTCATTACTTTTTCCAGATTGTATGGAACTAATTCTATTTGAGAAAGGAAAGTGAAGGGACAGGTTTATTTAAAGAGAAAATCTAGTGAATAAATCTTTTTATGAAACTTCGATCATTCCTTTTGAAAGATTTAGTGATATATAATTAGAATTGATATGAATAACTTAATACTTTTTTCCTCTTTTTCATTTTTACTGGTAGAATTCTGGTACAGCTCAAGTTTTCAGCTTAGTAGCAGAGCGTAGAAAGAAATTTCAGGAGATCATCAATCGCAGTAGCAGTGAAGCAAATCAGGTGGTTCGTCCCAAAACTTCAAATAAGTGGTCTGCTCCTGGTTCAGCTCCCCACTTAACAACAGCCATTTTGGAAATTAAAGAAAGCATATTGTCTTTGCTAATTAAACTTCACCACAAACTCTCAGGAAAACAAAACTCCTACTATCCTCCTTGGCTTGATGACATAGAAATTTTAATCCAACCAGAAATTCCTAAATACAGTCATGGAGATGGTATAACTGCTGTAGAAAGAATTTTACTAAAAGCTGCATTGCAAAGCAGAATGAACAAACGCATCATTGAAGAGATATGTAGAAAGGTGACCCCACCAGTACCACCCAAAAAAATTACTGCAGCAGAGAAGAAAACTCTGGACAAGGAAGAAAGGTAATTTTTATTAATAATATTTTAAACATGTATGGTATAGTTGAAGATTTGATTTGATTTTCTCCTTTTTTGTCATCCAGGGTTAATCAGTTAGTTGGATGTTTTAGCAGCACATAATAGCTGATTAGTTTGCAAGATAAATGGAATTGAACATGGTCTGCTTATATGTATAATATTCGGAGTTCCTTTAAATTTATAGGCTTCATCAGAAAATTTTCTAGTATTGTTATTGCTGTAGGGATCTTATAATTCTCTTGCTATTTAAAAAAACGTATCAATTCAACTTTATCTGAAAATAGAAAAAACAGAAGCATTTTAAATATTTCTTAAAATAAGTACTCCTTTGATACTTTATAATCCTTATCAGTATATAATTGCTAACTATTAAAATGTGGGGAGATGGTGTAGGAAGGCTGAATATAGTGCAAATACTGTGTATACATTGTATGTAAATGGAAAAATGAGACCTGTTGAAACTATTCCAGGAATAGGGGAGAGAGAATAAAGAAGAGTGGAGGGGGTGAATTCAACTATGATATATTGTAAGAACTTTTGTAAATGTCACAGTGTACCCCCAGCACAACAATAATAAGGTAAAGATAAATAAAGAAAATTAAACAAAAAAAAAGAAAGGTCACATTCCACAGGCAAAAAAAAAAAAAGTAATGTTTTTAGATATGCCCTAAGTATCTTATGCCTGTAGTTTTTGGACTTTTAGGTTGCTTCTAATTTGTTATTAAATCATAAAACTTACAAATCTTCCTTTTTTTAGACTTATCTTTGACTTTCTTGGAATGATTTTTTATAAGTGGGATTTTTGGGTCATGTGCTGTGAACATGGTATGACTCTTAGTGCACATGGCTTGCTAAGAGTTATGTTATTGTGCATTGTCACCACTTGTTTTCCCAAAATTTTTGTCCCCATTGCCAACCCTACTCTCCATAAACACAAGGTGAACCTTGAGAGATTGAAACTCAAAAAAACCCCAAAAAAACAGGCCTCATGCCTGTAATTCTAGCTACCCAGGAGGCAGAGATTAGGAGGATTGTGGTTGGAAGACAGCCAGGGCAAATGGTTTGTGAGACCCTATCTGGAAAATACTCAACAACAACAACAAAAGGCTGCCTAGCAAGCATGAGTCCCTGAGTTCAAACCCTAGTGCTGCCAAAAAAAAAAAGAAAAAAGGAAAAAGTCCAAAACAAATACACAAAAAAACCCCACATACCTTCTGATGCATGTACATAATAAAAAACCAAGGACATTAAATTTTTTTCAGATGAAATTAAAGATTTCTATTGTTATCTTCTCTGAGATTATAAGTAATTTATAATTGGTTTAATTTCCCTTGAAACAAATTTGTCTACTAAACCAACATATGGAGAGTCTAAAGGGATCATCTCAATATTATCTTAAAGATCTTAAATTAAGAACCTTGAACTTGTGACATCTAAGGCTCTTTCATATAGGTCAGAATCATGTTAAACACATTGTCTGAACTACTGTTGTGAACAATATGAATAATATGAATAATACATTATTTAATAGTTTGAAGTATACTTTAGAGGTACTTCTGGACTTATTTCATGTTCTTAGTTACTTTTAAAATTAAACGTAGGCAATTATGAGTTGAATGATCAATGGAAGCCAGCCCAAGATGGATTTTATACTATTGATACACTCCCTATTGATTGAGCATCAGGATTCAGTGAAGGAAATACACATGGTTTAGAGTGAGGTAAGAGTGGAAATTGTGAGATCAGGCTATTTTAAGGATTTAGAAGGGCAGGTGTAGTGATGGTTTAAACTATAGGGTAATAATTTGGACAACAGATGTGTATGAGATATTTAACAAGTACAGGTGTTATATTAGCTGATCAATTTGATATGGGAACTGAGAGTTCTAACTTCCACGATGCTCCTGTTTACCAACTAAGGGAATATAAGAAGGTGCTAAGGTTCAGCAATAAAATTGATATGTTTGTTTCTGGACTTTACTGAATTTAAGGAGGACATTTGGGTAAAGATGTCTAGCTAGAGATAGGGTTTGAGTCAGTAGTGGAGTTTGACCTAATGTCCTTGAGCTTGCTAGGCAAGTCTCTACCACTTGAGCCATACTCCCAGCCCTTTTTGTTTTGCTTTGTTTTGTTTTTTTGATATAGGATCTTGCTATGAGCCAAGACTGGCCTGGAACTGTGATCCTCTTCTTCCTTAGTTAACTGGGGTTATAGGTATATGCCACTATATCCAGTGGGAAAAATTCTTACAGCTTCAGATATCTTCATATAGGTAATAGTAGAAGTCTTGTATATGGAAGACTGTGCATAGTGATGAGAAGAATCTAAAGGAAAAAAAAAAGGGAATGAGTAGAAGAGATACCTACAAAACTGACTGAAAAGGGATGACGAGTAGAGTAGGAGGTAAATGGATGATTTGGTATTAGAGAAGACAGAAAAGGAGGAAGTTAAGAAAAGAAGACATTTATCAAGATTGCTTAGTGCTACAAGATTTCAGATAAAAGCATATCAAAACTTACAAATTTACGAAGTAGTGATAAAAGAGTTCAAACATGTATTCTATCAATTCTATTGTCCCTCAGCATTTTTGGACGTCTCCTAGAGTACGTTGAACATCTATAGCGTATTTTTGTTTATTTCCATTTCTTTTGTGGCAAATATTTGTCCTGTGAGGACAGACTTAATTTTTATGAATTTTTTTATTTTAAAGCAATCTTAAAGAAATGTTTTGAGAATAGTATGTAACGTCTCATAGTAGAACAAACCACAATGCTTGTCTTTATGGTTGTTCCTTATTGCCTCCATTAATTTGATGGGAGCAAATGAGTAAGCAATATAAAAATTTCTGTTAGCATTTCATTCTTCTAAATTCTACATGTTATATCTTTTTTCCTCAGCTTTATTAGGGTATAAAGGACAAGTAAAATTATATACTTGATGGTTTAATATACATATATGTCATGTAATGATTACTAAAATCTAATTAACACATCCATTGCTACAGTTACCCTTGTGTGTGTGTGGGGGGGTGATGACACTTAAGATTTATCAGCAAATTTTAAGTAAACAATACAGTATTATTAACTGTTTTCACCATGCTATACATTAGATCCTCAAAACTTAAACATTGTATAACTGAAGATTTGTGCCCTTTTTCTCCGTTTCTACCATCCACTGCTCATAGCAACTACAGTTCTCTTTGAGTTTGATTTTTAAAAATTCTCCCTGTAAATGAGACCATACAATATTTGTTTTTCTGTGTTTGGCTTATTTCACTTACTGTAATGTCCTTCAGGTTCATTCATATTGTTGGAAATGACAGAGCTTCCTCTTTTTTTAATGGCTGAATAGTATTCTGCTGTGTGTATGTTATAAAATGTAATACATATGTTTGTGTTATATCTTTGAATCATTTCAGATTAATAGAAAAATATTTTTCAGGTTTTTCATGGTAATGACTACATTTAATCTTGGTTTAACATAATGATTTGACTTTTATAGTGTATAGATATAATGGACATTAAAAGTGCTATAGTATATTTCATTATGGTTCTTTGTCTCATGGCTTTGATCAGTTTCTCTTTGAGTTTCATTCAAGTAAAATGTTTGTCTCTCCTGATGAGTTAATATATAATTTTCCTTTTTAAACCTTCTTTTCTTCCTTTTCATCCCCTTTTGTTAAAATTACTATTTTAACCTTCACTTACTAGAAGTAAAATTTTATGCTCAATAGTACTCTTAGCATCACATAATCTAGGGAAGTCTGTCTTCTTTCTTGTTTTTTTTTTTTTAAATTTTATTTTCCTATTTTATTGTGCTGGGTGGGGATATTTTCTTATTCTAAGTTATGGTCTTGTTTTATTGGTATCGGTGGTTTTATTTTGTAACCAGTTTCAAAATATTCTTTGGGATAAATTAATAAAAAAGAATGTAGTAAACTAATACAAAGGAATAATTATTCTTTGATTTAAAATACGGATTATATTCTTTGTTGTTGTTGCTTTGACTCTCAATAGTTTTTTTACTTTGTATAAAATAAGTCAAACTTGAATTTCTCTTAGTAGAACTGGGAAATTTACTGCCTATCTCATTCCATATTAGGAAAACCTATTCTTAGGGCAACAGTAAATCTGATATTTTTATCTTTTAGATTTTGTTTATTTCTGAACATTCATAGCTTTTAGGCAACCGCTTAATTCTTCATTTGTGCCTGCAGTTAAATTGCGAGTCTCTGGCTGAACAAAAAACTCTTCTTGCTTTGCCAGCTGACACATACTGAAG